ACGTGTGCTCTTCCGATCTGTGGTTTCATCTCTTTAAACCGTTTTTTTAGCACCAACTGATAATTTCTAAATTCATCTATTTATGTGACCTCAAATTGTATCAAGTTTCATTAAAATCAAAATTTGACACTTTGCGAGGTTTTCTTGTCAGGGCCCCAATTAAGGCGTTGTCGCAGATCGACTCAGGGAGACATTCCCCTAGGCGTTGTTGTGTGTCGCGGTCAAACCAGTCAACATACCGACCCGGAAAATCACCTCCAAAGCGTCGTTAATACAAAGAATCGCGGGACAAATCCCGATTCGCAAGTGCAGTAATTGCCACAAACATTTCGATTTATACAAAATAAATAAACAATATACGAAACTACAGTGTGCATATTAATGTTATTCACGCTAATTCACGGAACACCGAGATATAAAATTTTTGTGTGGTCTGAAACATTTTAGAAAGAAAACTTGTATACAATATATTTTTTATATAGTCTAATCTGAAAGAAAAAAAAGATCGAAAAATTTGAATAAAAATATGAAATATGAAAAATATTTTATAAATAATTATATTTTATTGTAACTTTTCAATTAAAAATATTACAATTATTTATTTAAACTTAACAATAATATTTATGTTAAAAGATTTGGTTTTTTTCAAATGTCTAATTATTAATAGATGCATGAAAAGAAATTATATATATGATTTTACTCTTTATTAGAACTTCGTCGAAAGGATTAGATAAAGGCTTAAAAAACGATAAAAATCTGAAAAAAGTCAACACGGAGACAATTTATGTGAGTGAAAAATCGAATAATTGAACACTACATATACTTAAAGAATCTCAATGGCGAAATCTATAGGCCATTAAGATCTGCAGTGAGGTAGGTGCAGACGATCAATGATTGATTGATGCCAACAAGAGCAAACGCCGCATCGCACCGCTGCGTCTCGTGATGTAACATGTCACGTCATGACACATAATATTTTTTATTCGGTATTTGTCAACTGTCGCATGTGCATCGGCACGTGTCTGCAATTAAATGAAATACGGGAATGTACCCCATGCATTATCGAACTCCGCGTGATAAACGATTTGTTTGGCAGCGAGCAGATGCAAAAATATCGCTTAAATGTCAGCGAGCGGAATTCGGGAAGACGTTCTCCGGGAAAAAATAATTATTTATGTAAGATATTTGCGTCTCTCGGGCAAGTATACATACATTAATCAGATGTGAATCGATGCTCCGACGTCACGATATTTTGGCGTATATCTTCTTTTTTTTATACCCGAATTGCACGTTGATTATTAATTTATTAATAGTTTCTTATCAATAAAAGCGTTATTGTGGATGAACTATTTCCTATAATTTTCAATTTTTTCAATTTTCTATGATTGTTTAAATATTTTAATTACTTCTTTAAATATCTTAACTACTTTAAATATACTTTAAATAGTTTAAATATATTTTAAATATACTTAATGATTCTGTTTATTAATCAATTCGACTTTCTTTGTTTTTCCCTTTTTATTTCTAAATGTTCTTTCTGATAAATTTTTTGTCGAGATAAAATAGTTTACGATATATTTTTATTAAAGATATTATATTATTGAAGATATTACAGTACCTATATTTTTATTGAACAAGCACAATTCAAAATGCAGTAAATGATTCCCCGATTTGGTCCTTTAGAGGACGTTTAATTCACGGTCGAATTTTCACGCATGTCGTCTGTCACATATAAGAATTATGAATTTGTATAATTCTTCCTTCATTACTGTGCTCGGACGCCAATCATACGTTATATGATCATATGATTAATCATATGTACAAGTGTTTTGCCGTATAAACGCGAGCACAGATCAAACATTGGCGAGTTAATTTATATGGGGCGCGAAATAGTCCTTTCTCGTATTCGGGCTACGGCCTCTCTCGCTGAAGGTCGGGATATTCGCGAGTGTCGAGATACGCGAGAGAGATACACAGTTTGCAGTCCATATTATTTTATCCCGAACGATTTATCTCGGTTTTGATTAAAATTACGAAAAATTCGACGACCGCTTTTCGCGGAGGCATCCATAAAGAATGTTCCGCGCGATATTTCTGTTATACCTGGTTGGGATATCGTTTGCACAATGCAAGCAGGTAACGTTTAGAATATAAGTCAAGGTAACTTTTAGAATAAGAATAAAACTCGATTCAAATTATCGTTTCATCCACGTAAAAACTAAAAAAGTGCACTGAGAAAAAAAATTTGTTAAAAAACGCAAAATTTGTTTCATCTTACCAAAATATTTAGTCCAATACGTAAATACGTTCAACTAAATGTTACTACGATGACACAAAATAATTTGTTACTATTATAAACAAAATGCTATTTTTTAATTAAATTATTTAGTTTCAATAAAAATTTTTTGCATTTAACTCAACCATTTGATTAAAAATATACACTATTTATTATATCAGCATCGTTTAGTCAGTTTGATACTTGGAATTTGAACAAATATATTACTTGGATGATTACCATAAATAGCATGTAAACACAAATAAATACTACTAATATTTCAAACAAAATAATTTAATTGAGTTGGTTTAGTGAATTCTTGATTAAAAAATTTTGATAATTGACATCAAGGCTGGATAAAATGCTTTTCGAATTATATTTAAAATGTCAAACATAAAATATCTTAAAAAAGGTATTTAAAATGCAAAGTGTAAAATAAATTTTTCGAATCCATTTTAAATGTAAATATAGGTAAATAGGTATTTTAAATAACTTTCATGAAATGCAAAATAGTTTTTTTTAATGTATGCCATTAAATTGGCAATTTATTTGATATATGTGATTAATATAATCATATATTTTATTTGTTTTATTTAATAAAACATGAAATCATTTCATCCTTGTTGTTCGCTGAAAGTTAAACAAGAAATGATGCTCGCAAACGTTAAGTTCAACGTATAGGGCGCGTTCAACAGACAGATCAGTGAGCGCTCAATTATTCGCCTTTGTTGCAGTATTTATTCACTCAGATCCAGCAAAAAGCTAAAGGCAAAAATCAATCATATTAAAGAATCACTAAACGCTAAACACTCACTAATTTACTTTGTCAATTGAACGCGTCCATAGAAGAAATTGTGTTTTGACCAATTACAAAACTTAATTTTTTTTATGCGCCAAAGCGTTTACGTTTACACGTCATATTTAATCGGGTTTAATAACATCTATGAAACTGGTCAGTCATTTTATTCTTCAGAAAAATAGCTTTAATTGGTTAGATTAATTACTACAGATGTTATTACACCCAATTAAGGCTGCATTTACTTTGGCGCTTGCAACGCTTACCATTTCATCTTTGCTGTTTTTTAAATGTTAAAGAAGAACAAATGATGCTCACAAGTGCTGTAAACGCCAAACCGAACGTAGCCTAAGAGTAACGTGTGAACGTGTAAACGTAATCAATACCTAATGCTAGGAGAAATTTGTGAGCGCTTAGAAAAACCATTTACACATTTTACAAATAGTTAAATGTATAGATATTTCCATTTCAAATGTAAAATGAAAATGGTTTTCCAAAAAGCATTTAAAATATAAAATTCAAAAATACATATATTTAATATGTATTTAATGTATTTAATATTTAAAATGGAACTATTTCAAATATTACCCAGCCCTGGTTGACAGGAATGAACTA